TTAATGATAGTCTCGAAAGCCTACTCACTTACGATAAAAGTTAGGCCGCCCTATCCTATGACAATTAGCGCCTTGCAAAGGAATTTTTATACAATAATAGGAAAAGGGCTTTGCGAGAATTTAAATTTGCTATCCTGAATTGCTGGGTATTGGAAATTCCTGACAACTCACCCAAGCGATTCAGTCCTTGCACAAACCGGTGTTGTTGCGACAGATCTAGGCAACGTCTCCATGCCTAGGAAAGTTTCTCTACGAGGTGACAAAACGAAAGGCTGAGTTATCTGATCACACGTATGGATCCAGCATGTTGTGGTATTTGCTGTTCTAGGCATGGATAAAGATGATGCTTGTTGTGCTGGCAGTGAATTCGATGAGTTTATACCAGCTATCTGGGCCGATTCAGAGGCAATGAACCCTTCGTCATTTGTGCCGACGGGCATATAAAGCGGAATAGAAGGGTTTGATGATGATTCTAGGGAAAGAAGAGAAACATTTTGCCTGTCCAAGAATTTTTGAGCTTTTCGAATCTCCTTAGGTAAACCAGGGTCTGCAATTGATAGAGAAGCAACAACTTGACGACATGATGATGTAGCATCGGTGTCAAATGGGGGCGCATATGCATCAATGACGGCATCGGCGGTTGTGGTGCCCAGCTTCCGGTTAGCAAAATGGTTTCGAGCGTCAGTACCCGAATAACGTCCTAATGTAAGGCGTGATTGACTGAATGAGTGGCGGGAGGTAGGAGGGATTGTGGAAAAGAAAGGAGGATTCTGGCAAGTCACAGGCACCGGAATGAGCGAAGGTACCATGTCACTGGTGGATACCTGTACATTAAGCCCACCCAGGTCAGATAAACCAGCGCGGTCATCAACAGCTGCAAAAGTGCGCATTTCCTTGATTTCTTTGCCTCGAAATGAACTTTGCTCTTTCCGCTCAGTGGAAGCAGAACTTTCATCATTTAACAGCTTAGTCTCCAGTTTTTCGACGTTTACATGCTGAAGGCTGCTAGAAAAGGTTGTGGGTTCTGAAGAAATACTGGCTCCATTGCTGGATATATCGATGCTGTGGCAGATGGACACATGAGATACGGTGTCAATAGGAGGAGTGATGGCAGTAGATGATGGAAGACAAGATAGACACGCGCGACTGAGATGGGCGTCGGGAGGTCGAGGAGGATGCAGGGCGTGGAGTTGGCGGGCGCGAAAGTCTTGATGCGAGAGATAGGCAAGGATGTGTGCAAGGCCACGGCAGACAATCTGAGTGAAAAAGTAAACAGAGAGGTTGAGTCAGTTGTAATGGAAGGGATTGCTGATGTTGCTGTAGCTTCACACTAGGTAAAAGCAAACCAAGTTTTAGAGAAAGTGGTTACAATGTCTATAAGATTCGGGAATATTAACCTAATGGACTCTAGGCCGCTTTTGGTGATTTAGGAAGTGAAAGTAACATTTCTCACAAATCACAAATTATCCTTTACATCATGACAACAAGTTATAACGCCTTTAAACAACCATGTGTCAGTTTGTCACAGATCAGATGTGATTTTTAAACAAGCCAGATCTCTGCCATATCACATGGAAAGTTGATTCGCCGATTATGGAAAATTTAGTTTTCGTTTATAGGTGGGCGTTGGAGAGTACCAGATCATATCTATGAGGTGATTGATCTACTTGAACGGAATCGGGTGAATACATCTCGTAAATAAAATTCATTCTTGCCATTTTAAGTCGATAATGCGAATTTTTTTTAAACTTCTAGTAATTCTTAAATGAGAGCTTTGTCCTTATGATAGTCACACATTTCTCATGGGTTTAGAATATACTTGACTCTAAAATATGTAATATCATCGACTGTGGTGATGTTTCGCCAAAACGCTCACGATTTGATTTCGAATAACACTTGGAGGTATTAATGTGGCCTAAGTCAGGCCAAATTGCAATCTGGCCTATATGAGAAAATATTTAGTAAGATACTAATAAGTGGTATGAAATAACAGCGTGAGGCCTACTAATTTCGTGGTAGTAACACTCGTTATCATCCTTATATCACCTTAACAACCAAGGGTGATTCCAGAACTAATGATAATTTTAAAAGGTAATCACATAAAAAATGCTATCAATCACTAGGCTTCGCGAAGATCAGGGGAATAAATTGAGCTATTATCAGCTTTACAAACAGGTTTATACAACAATCTGATACAGGATGCCCTGTTAAAATAAGAATGAATTGGGAGACAAAAAGCCCATTCAGCAGGCTATGTAGTGACCCTGTCTTGCGTTGCCAAACTTTTTTTATCGGCCTGATGCCAATATGAGTATGTGGTTTCAAAAATTTGTGTTAGGATCAAGACAGAAAGTGATATTCAGAAGAGGTTCAGTGGACAAGGTCCAAGTCGACACTTGCGTCGAGCTTATGGCAAAACGAGACGTTCGGGCTATAACGGACCAAACTAAACGCAATAAGTTGCTGATTCGAACCAAAGAGATAAGCAAAATTTTACAAGTCCTAAATATGACTTTTTTAAAGAAAGATAAAGTGCATCAAAATCACGTAGTTGGGTGAACTCTACTGGCTCATGTGCTGACCTGAGTAAATATGTGCCTGAAGAGAGCGCTAATTGTAAACTTCTAATCATTACACATTTTCTCATCCTGCAGTCCAATATGAAAACGCCGTGTAATGCAAAAATAAAAGCAGTATAAGATATATCAATAAAAGTGTAAATCTTAGAATAGGTTAGTGAAGAAAATAAGGATCTACCTTATTAATGAGAGAAAATTGAAAGGCTACCTGAGTGGAGAGTTAAGCATCATACATTGTATCCAAACAATTTATAGACGTTGTTTGACCTTGGCTTCGCAACTTGGTCATATTAGCAGGAAGACCAAGAGGAACGCACCTTGTTCTGAGTCTATTGTATGCATGACCATTTCCAGAGTCGGGCCGTGGACTTGGTACATTCCCAGAGGTTTCACCGGCATCATCAGTGAGTCTTGCCATTCTCAGCAACCAAGCTACAACTCTTCAAAGAGACATGTAGAGTCAATCCCTTGACCGACTTTCTGTCGAGACGGTTATGCTGCTCATTTTTTCCTGATCTCTCTATCCATTTTCTACCCTCAAGTCTTGCCCTTGTCCTATCACAACTTCTGACATGTTTCTATTCCACAAGAGATGTGGCATTTTGGCGAGTTTATCGTGCCGTCATCACACCTGCTGTTTGCCTTGCTCCATTCCTTTTCAATTGGCTGATCCTGCTCCAGTCTCCTGTCCGGATCTGACTCATGCACCCGTGGGTCCGTTTCTTATCTTTTGGGTTGACCGATTTCACTCGGTTTTAGCCCCATCGTACTTTTACTCCGAGTGCTATTTCTCAAGACTTGAGGGGCACGTACAAAGTCACCCTATCTCCAGAGAGCCTAGGCTCTGATTCACATGCCTGCAGATATTAGGCATCATCTCATATATTAAGCCTGTGTACGCTGAGCAAACTGTGGACATCTATCTCTGGTCACCCGTTGCATCTCAAGTGGATTTTTAGCACGTTTGGCGAAAATGTCCGATTTCTGTGACCCAATCCTTCTCCCTAGTAACGTGGAGCATCGAGGCGCCAAATTGTAGTTGTTTATTCGAGTTGACTACTCTCACTGAAAATGTCTTCGCTCCATTTCCAAACCTACTCACCCTCTTCTTCCTTGCGATCTCTTTTCCTCTGGTTTACGATAGGTCCCTGATTCAAGCGTCTCCTTTTTGCTTGTCTTGTTGTATCCCTGTTTTCTCTGAGTTTGATTAGGCAATAGGCAAAGGTATCGCTGACTCTGCCTTCTTCCAATCTCCTGTCCACTACATTTTTTCCCCCAAGCATGTTCTTATACGGAACCTGGATGACTACTTTACAATATTGTCGCATGAAAGAGAAATGTTGGTGGATTTCCTGAAGTTTATGAACGAGCTTGATGAAAAAATCAAATTTACAATGGATGTAGAGGAAGAGGAGCGTTTGGCCTTCCTAGATGTTGAGCTTATTCGCTCTACTGAGACACTCAAGTGGAAATTGCTCAAAAAGAATTTATATGCCGGAATATTACTCAATTTTAAATTTCATCACAAGTACAAAATGAAGATAGGTATACTGAGGAGCATGATCATCAGAAGCCTACGATTAACGGACGGGGAATTCTGGGATGAAGAATTGGAAAAATTTACCAGGATATCCCTCGGTAACGGATATCCGAGAGAAGTAATTCAAAGATACATACTGGCCGTAAAGAGCCAATGGCGGGACGGAGATCATGAAAGAAAGATAAAGATGGAGAAAGAATCAGTAAAATGGATTGTCTCCCTTCCTGTGAACTAGCTCAAAACTACTGCCAATATTAAGAAAATGGAATATTTAGGTGACCACAAAGGAAAAAACAACGCTGTTCACAAGTCTACCCCGGCAGCATGAGTTTACTGCATAACACGAGGCGTCTGCGAACGGAAAAGGATTGGCGAAACAGGGAGAAAAATCAGCATACGAGACTTGAGGGCAGAAAACGGATAGAGGGACCAGGACAAAATGAGCAGTGATAGCATAACCGTCTCGACAGAAAGTCGGTCAAGGGATTGACTTAACTTGTCTCTTTGACGAGTTGTAGCTTGGTCGCTGAGACTGGCAAGACTCATTGATGATGCCAACTACGATGCCGGTGAAACGTTTGGGAATGTACCAAGTCCACGGTCCGACTCTGGAAATGTTCATGCATACAATAGACTCAGAACAAGGGCTGTTCCTATAGGTCTTCTCGCTAATATGGCTAATTTGGTCGGATCGTTGGTGAGACCCTGTAGAATGTACCTAGCCCTGCGTCCTTCGTCATAATATTCGTGATTAACATCCTTGGACTATTTACTTGGTTCATTTCCATCCGTTTCGCCGGTATCGTCAATAAGAGTCGCCATCATTAGCACAGAGTTAAAACTTATCAAATTGACAAGTCTTGTTTAAAGTTTAGCTTCGTATTCACAACATCCATTTGTGCTTGTCGTATGGATAGAAGACCATCTACATTCCCTGGACATCTAGTTGCTGCCCCTGCTATAAATTTTCGACATAGCCAATAACTAACTGTTTCCTTGCTCTAAAATTATATTAAAAATAATCCATTTTTATCAAAATTCAGAAGCATATAAATCCTTAGATCTAATTTGAAGTTCGAATGAGAATTCTATCCTCTATTCTAATTATTTATTATAAATCTAGGTCAATTAATACATCAGAATATAGTCAAACATCAAGATGTCACGCAATGTAAGCAAGGGGTAAAAATTTGATATGGTCATGTAGTTAGTTTATCTTTAAAGTAAGC